GGGGGGAGGGGGGAATTTGAAGGGGTGTGGTGGTTCCCGGGGTCCCCCGGAGTTGTCTAGAGTGTGAGTGTCGCAGATACAGAGGCGGTCCATCAATTTTTTTTTGTTCACAATGGATCACAACAGACACGTTCCAGGGGCTCAACACTCCGCTTCATCGGGGCTCAGATGCTGATATATGGGAAATATGGGACAGCAAAGTGTAACACAAGATGATGATCATTGGGGTCGCAGGTCAGACGCAGCTTCTGTTGTGATTTATCGTCAAGCCAAATATAAATTGGTTGACCTCCATCGTACCGGTGTCGCTGTCGCCCTCCTCCGGGAAATGGATCATCTGACGGTGGCGAGGGCGGCGGCCTATCACATGATGAAGCGTAATGGCGGAAAATACAAATGGCGCGGACGCAGAACTTTAGTCCTCGGTCTCTATATCAATCTTCGTTGAACTTCTTTTTTTTTCTCTCTTCGGTTTGCATTCTGATCCCCCCCCCCCCCCCCAAATAAATGTTTTAGATGAAAACTTAAAGGAGAACTATGAGGGGGGGGGTGACTTTCACTTATCATCATAATTAGAGCCGACCTGTGACAATGAGACGGCTCAGTAGATCAGGAAGTGAGGGAACATATACCGGCGCTCGCTCACTTCTCACTTCTCGATCATCTCCCTGCAGAGAGCCGTGACTGTCACTCACCTCTCCCTGCAGGGATTCCCCCCTCCCCGCTCCGATCCTCCAGCACTGAGTGGCGGAACGGACGGGGGGCGGACTCTGCCTCTAGATAGGCAGAGCCAGCTGTCACTCACGCAGCTGGGCGGATCTCGACAGCAATGTCGGGATCCGTTTCGGCGTCTCAGTATACCGCGAGCTGTAGCTCTCTCTCTCTTTATACTGAGCTGTGTTCGCCCCCCGTGAATCTCTGTGAACATTCACCCGGTGTGAATAGAGGCAATAACGAATGTTCTCAGTATATTTCTTTTCAGGTTGAGTGTAATGTAATACCGGGTTATGGCCACTAGGTGGAGCTGAGCAGCAGTGGAGATCATTTTACATGTTCCATCAGCTCCATCTAGTGGCCGTAACGTGTTATTACATTACATTCAAACTGAAATTAAAATATTCTAAGAACATTCGTTTCTTTTTTCTCTATTCACACAGAGTGAATGTTCAGAGATTCACCGGGTAATATTTGCTTATCCCGGGGTTCAGCTTTCACCCTCATGGCAGGCTGTAGGAGAATGTTCCAAGTTAAATGTCGTGAAGGTCAACACTTTCATCTCTTGGGGTTGCCCCCCTCCCCCTCTCTCTATGTCATGTGACTCCATGGTGCACCTGTCTCCCTCCAGGTTTCCTTCGAGGTCTCGGCACAGGCGAGGAGCTGCCCTCCGCCGGGGTCGGCGCACACCTTCACCATCAAGCCGGTGGGTTTCCGGGACGCGCTGGAGGTGACGGTGACCTATAACTGCAGCTGCGGCTGTTCTCACCTGGAGGAGGCGAGCAGCGGGAAGTGCAGCGGTAACGGAACGTACACCTGCGGGGTCTGCAACTGCGACGGCGGCTTCCTGGGCGCCAGGTGCGAGTGCGGCGAGGACGACGACAGCAGCAGCTCGTCTCTGAATACCTGCCGGGAGTCGGAGGGCCACACCGTCTGCAACGGGCGGGGGAGGTGCATCTGCGGCCTGTGCTCGTGCTACGAGAGCGAATTCGGGCGCATCAGCGGCTCCTACTGTCAGTGTGACGACTTCTCATGTGCCAGATTCAAAGGGATCCTCTGCTCAGGTGAGTGATCGGTCATATTGTGACCCCTTCCCCCCCGTGTAATGGAGGGAGGATATCCGGGATAAAGATTACCTCCCCGGCCTGACACTGTCCCTGATCCACCCCGGAAATCCCAACCAGAGTGGTCAGTACTGCCCGTGTTCTTCTCTGGACTACAGAACACTTTCCTCTCTCCTCCTCCTACATAACATAAGGGAGGTGTTCTGTAGTTCAACAGAAGAGAACTGAACGGGGCTGACAACACTGCTATGGTGGAGGATCTGTGTTGTCAGATCAGACAGGAAGTTTGGGGCTCTCTGGATTTCTGGCGGGTCGGTAGGCATTTCTCTGTATTTGCAGCTTTGTTAAAGATGCAACCCGTGCAATGTGTTTGTATTGTGGAGAACGAATGTCACCCAATATGAAGTGTAACATTGTAGCTTGTTCCTCCCCCATGCACACGCAGAATCCTTCTCATATTTCCTCTCCGTCTCTCTGGGTTTATATTTTAGTTATTTGATTATTGTTATTTCCTCTTTGAACGTATTTGTACTTCCTGTGTTGAACACGCGGTGTGCGCGCTGATTGTCTCTGAGATCGGACTAGTCGGTGATGGTGCGAGTTGTTATTCTTCGTGGTCTGTCATTCTCCTCGGTGCCCCGCCATCTTCTTATATATCATTATACTCGCTGCTCCGCTTGGGGTCACCATACACGGCTGCTCGGGTTCTCCATACACGGCTGCTCGGGGTCTCCATACACGGCTGCTCGTGGTCTCCATACACGGCTGCTCGTGGTCTCCATACACGGCTGCTCGTGGTCTCCATACACGGCTGCTCGTGGTCTCCATACACGGCTGCTCGTGGTCTCCATACACGGCTGCTCGTGGTCTCCATACACGGCTGCTCGTGGTCTCCATACACGGCTGCTCGTGGTCTCCATACACGGCTGCTCGTGGTCTCCATACACGGCTGCTCGTGGTCTCCATACACGGCTGCTCGAGGTCACCATGTACGGCAGCTTGGGGGTCACCATGTACGGCAGCTTGGGGGTCACCATGTACGGCAGCTTGGGGGTCACCATGTACGGCAGCTTGGGGGTCACCATGTACGGCTGCTTGGGGGTCACCATGCACGGCTGCTCGAGGTCACCATACACGGCTGCTCGGGGTCACACTACCCCCAATGCCTGGTCATTAGTAGCTAACGATTATTTTCATAATCGATTAGTTGGCCGATTATTACGTTCGATTAATCGGATAGTATTATTGCTGGGATTTGTAGTCCTCTATAGCTGGTGGTATTCTCCATTGCACCACTGTATAATGATTATACTGCGCAATGCAGATTACGCGGCATGGTCGTGGCGTCCGCGGCATGCGTAGCGTAACTCGTATTGCAGCTCTAGTCATTAGTCTGGCGCTGACTCCGTCTTCAATACCAGAGATCTGACACGGGACGAATTTCCTGTAACAAAATAACTTCTAGTTATCTCACTTTAAAGTTACTAAAATCTCTAGGTTCCGGCCGGGGTTCTAGTTGGGGTTCTGGCTAAGGATCTGGTTTGGATTAGTGTTAGGGTTCCAGCGCTTAGTATCTGGTTGGGGTTCCGGCACTTGTGATCTGGTTGGAGATCCGGCTGTGGATTTGGTTGGGGTTCCAGCGCTTGTGATCTGGTTGGGGTTCCAGCTGGGGATCTGGTTGGGGTTCCGGTTAGTGTTCTGGCTGGGGATCTGGTTTGGATTAGGGTTGGGGTTTCAGCACTTAGGATCTGGTTGGGGTTCCAGCGCAGGGGATCTTGTTGGAGATCCGGCTGGGGATCTGGTTGGAGATCCGGCTGGGGATCTGGTTGGGGTTCCAGCGCAGGGTATCTGGTTGGGGTTCCAGCGCAGGGGATCTGGTTGGGGTTCCAGCGCAGGGGATCTGGTTGGAGATCCGGCTGGGGATCTGGTTGGGGTTCCGGTTGGGTAAGACGAAGTTGAAGACTGGAGGCCTTATAACGAGCAGAGTCCGGGTATTATGAGGGTTCTGTTTCTCGTTCTTCATGTAAGCGGCTCCGCTGCATTCCTGGCCTCCAGATCACTCTGCGTTCCCTTACATCAGAGGCCCCGTGTCCAGCACCCCACCGGCCATGATCTGTCTGCATTGCATAGAGAAGCTCGGACACCCAGCGATGACATCACCGGGACTAAAATAAGGAATGTCATGAAAACAAGTTTTATTTACAACTTTTATATTTAAAAATACAGAGACCCCATTACCAGTGAGAATGAAAAGCAGCGACCTCTGACCCCGGCTTCCGGCCAGACGAGGGTGACACGTCCCTCCGACCTTCCTCCGGATCATTGGGAAGCTGAGGATCCCAAGTCCACGTTGTTGTATTGAAGTGAACCTGTCACAAGTCTTGACAACACAAACTGAATATATGACGGAAATTCAATGGCGGGGTCACCGATGCATCAGAATCAACGATACATCCAGATCTATAGATGGCGCAGAAGTTACGCCTGGCTCCGCCCCCTCTCAATTCTCCATATTGGTCATTTACCAGGATGGGAGGTTCCACTGTCCAATGGGAACACTCAGGCAGCAGAGGGGCGGAGCCAGGCTCCTTTAGTTCAGAATGATGTCAGTTGACTGGTTCTCCGGATCTGCTGATCGCCCTGACACGCGGTTTTCGGGGTTATAGTTTGAATCTCTGTGTGACAGGTTCACTTTAAATCCATAACTCGCCGTTCGTCTCCTGCAGACCAGATTGCCCCCGACCATCGCTGACGTTTCCTGTCTGATGCGTTGCCATTTCCCGTCTGATGCATTGCCGCCTGATGCGCAGCCGTTTGCCGCCTGATGCGCAGCCGTTTGCCGCCTGATGCGCAGCCGTTTGCCGCCTGATGCGCTGCCGTTTGCCGCCTGATGCGGTGACAATTGTGGAACTCGTTTTTCATGACTTTGTGTTTTATACAAAGAACTTTTTGTGTCGTCTGTTTTCTCTTCTTGTTTTTTTGTATATAAGTTATTGTCC